CACCGAAGACGAATCGAGAAGTGATAAATTGCGCTGAAATCAGCTAAATTATTCTCAAAAACGGTGGATGAAAACAGACAAGTGTTATGCTTACTGAAAACAGACAAGCATTAGCTTAAAAGATAAACAATAAAAAATGGGAAGAGGAAATCAATTTGGAGAGGAGGTGCGAAGATAGGGACGGACCCCTCTCTGCTGAACAGGGTGATACGCAGGCAAGCAATGCAGTGAGAAATGAAAGTGAACTGCTTACTTTCTCGCTGAAACCAAATCTTCACCAAACAATCTGAAGCACCACAAGTGGCAAAAAATGCGCCATCGGGTGAGCACGACATAAATTTAAGTCTTGCGGCTAGCTTCTGCGACCAAATACAATCCCAGGATGAGCCACTTTCCGCCTCTTCATCATTCTCCTAAACACACTGGCTCTTGGAATGTCGATGGCGCACCTAAGCGCTGATGCTGATTTAAAAAGCTTTCCTCCTCGCATCAGTGCTGTCAGGAAAAGCTCGGAGCAAAATGGAGAGGAAGCAGTGCAACGAGACAAAGATAGCGAGAGTCGGGGGAGCAGTAAAGTGAGGGGAGGGCACCGGTACTCTTCACTAATTCTCAATCCGGATCTCACTCGGAGATGCTGCAAATGGCGACATTCCCTGCAGCCTCATCAAACAGTGGCACTTCCAAGTCACATTTCTGGATTAGATGCAGTTCCTGCTGCACTGGCCAGCTTTTTAGTCTTCTAAAGTGGACAGTCGTCAGTGCAGCTCAACAAACCAGGAAAATACATAGTCAGATCTACCTTTGGGTGGCATTCCTTCTACAAGCGAAGGGCCCATAATTTTTAAACAACTCCTAGAAAAAATTTCAGGCTCAGTAACTACTGAAAGCTGCAACTCAGCGAAGCGAAAAATGAAATGCTCAGAAAATGAGCGATGAGCACAGAGCAGGAACTGGCTTCGGCACTACAGAATGAGGAATCTCTGAGAATAACAGACCTCATCAATTATTTCAAATGTCACGGGCGCATCCAGTTTGGTGGTTAATGCTGCAGAAAGAAGCGAGTGCTGATAAAGATGAAGCACATCCCCGGAACAAATCAGTAGTCTTAGACCTTGCAAATTCCACAGCACTTTATCCACCGTGCTTTTGAAGGTAAGAGAGTGCGTCTCAATCCAGCAGTACTGGAAACCCTGAAATCCAACAAAACGGCGTCACTAGTTGAATGGAACAACAGATTCTAGGCAAATGGAAAATTATAGTGAATCTAATGATGGTCGTTCGAGGGAACTAGGCAGTTTCACCAAAAAGAGTCGCGACTCTAGAACGTACGCTGCTCACGTCGTCGGTGCGTGTGGTCGGCTCATAGATACGTATAACATTGCCATACGTTGCAACAATCTGTAAAACGACTGCACCTAAGGAGACCTTCAAAAAACTGCATTCATTATGACCAGAACACAAATATACCTATGGATATGTTCATAACGAACGCAAACGAAGTAACCTGTTAATCAAATCATTCAGCAGCGCTCCAAGCGATAGCCAGAAGTATTGTTTGTTGCGGGTGCTCGATGCTGAAGGAAGCAAGCAAGTTGCTCGCTCTACAGACAGCATGTCTCTCCATCACAAGCCAGTACCGTTGCAGCAGGGACAGCCGCCGTTGAACGGTGATGCGCCACTTGTCGCACTAGGCCATGAGCACCAGACGGTAATGTCAAAAAAGCCGCGGCAATTTGGCAGCTTTTTTCACGCATCATGCCTCTCCCTCTCTCTTTTTACGCATTGCGACTTCCCATCCGTTTGATTCAGCTCTTTGGATCACTTAATTTGTACCACTCACAAAACAACCAATATGCTTTGAGATTTCGAACACACACACACAGCTTATCGTATTTTAGCATTACGAGGAGATGAGGTGAAGAAAGCAATGAGCAACGCTACTCCGGGCCCGATCGCTCGACGAATTAAAGCGATCGGAGTGCCATCAGCCCTGTGAAACGGGTATGCAAGCGGGTGCATTTGTTATCACATCAGTTACCACCGCCTCTTGCACAGAGTGGATAACATTCGCTGCTTCATTTTTAAACCATCAAAAAAAGCAAAGATAAAAGAACCTTTCCAGTTTCACGACAAGCATCTACACAATTCACCAGCAATCCCTTGACTTCACTGTTCGGCGTTATCACCTGTATGCGCTCAAACGAAGGCGATAATACCACAATGTTCGTGCCCACTGCGCAGGCCTGTAAGAAAGTGCATAGATGGGACTGCAGTGAAGCCAAGGAAACCCGCAGCAAAGCCTGCTTTCATCAAGAGGACTGGCCCAGAACAGCAAACAGCGGCAACTGGAATTTACTACTGAGCTAACAGAAACACATAATGCTGCTGCACACATGCTGGCTCTTCAAGTGGAGGCGCAGTGCCTGAATTTTGCCTTCAAAATATCGGCGCTGAGAAAGAATCGATGTGGACTTACTGTAAAATTGACGCCATCAACAGTACCAACACTGAACACCTGATCACCTCGATTGAGGGCCCCGGTGAGAATCTGATGCGCACTCATTCAAATTTGCACAACGGTACTCCAGCTGCAATGCATCTGCTAGAAAAAGGAGTAGATCGAGCAGCCGAATATGCACTATCGCAATAAACAATGTAAAAATACAGAGCCAGTTCGGTGGCTACCAAAAGAGTGAGTGAGCGCGATGAACGAGCAGTGTGGAAGAGGCAGCAGTCGGAGCAAAGCAACGTGCCAGAAGAAGCAGCTGTACACCAAACAACGAGCAAGCGAGCGGAGACTTTGTCCAAAATAAGATAACGCGTTGCATTAAGCGAGAAGTTTGATAATAAACAAGCAGGCAGCGCTCGTTGTTGATCGAGGAGCATCTCTCCTCCCAAACTTCGGCCCCTCGACTTCCATCTCACTTCCCATCTCAATTCCGCGGCCCGATTCACTCGAACAACAAACAAATCGGAGATGAGCTCGTTTTCACTCACTCCATGTAAACAAGAGAGAGAGAGAGAGAG